AGTGAGAAAATGCATCTGGTAACTGTAGAAGAGCACATTTTGAACACATTTTGTCAGTTGTAAGTTTACTTTTAAAAAGTTTGTTGATTGGAATGTCATTATCTAAATTGAACTTTTCTCTGTTAGTTTGTAGAAAGTCAGCATCTCAAAAACAATTTGCTATTGTTAAAGCATTGATATACTTTGCCATGCCAAGTGGACAAAGTTTATTGCATCAAGATTTATAGAAAGCGATTCTTTGCTATTATTTATAGAAGTTACCATCTTCAAAAGGAGAATTTGCTGATAGCCACTCTTTAAACTTGGTCTAAACCAAATTTAGACCAAGGTTGTAGTTTTGAACTTGTGTTGGGGGACATAAACACCAATTTAATGCAACATAAATTCTTGATGTTGGGATGCGCCAGGTAGTTGTCAGTCAATAATAAAATTTTTCATTACTTCTCAGTTCTTCATCTCATTCTTGCAGTTTACCACATAAAATGTCAGGTGTCATCCAAGCTCTTCAGTTAGATTTGTAGTTTACCGATAGCCATTGATTTTCGAAACATCTTTGAATTTTTGATTTACTGATTACTAATAGTTTTCTTTTTTCTTTTTCTATAAGATTTGCTGTTAGTAGAAAAGTAATTCTTCATTTAGATAATTTTTCTCCTGCACAGCTTTCTTTTTTGAATCTTAGCATCCTATCTGGTGTAAGCTTATTAAAAAAAAAACTGTTTCATCTGTATTAAAGCTATCAGAATCTTGGAAATTTTCTATAATTTTTGGCTACTTATTTTGCAACCAGTCTTCTACCATGTCCATGTTTACTGCAGCTGCTTTTCCAACAATTTTTCAGCTTCCAATAATGTCCTTTTTTAAACCTCTTGATGCAACTTCTACTGTATTTAAATTCTGTACTCTTTTCCAATTTGCTTCCAAACTCTTCTGCTTTTGACTACAATATAGCAAATACTGTAAAGCACCACTAATAGTTGTGTTTTTAAGTCTCTGTTGAGAAAATTGTTTTAACAATACTTGATCTAATTCATCATGTGCTGATTTTCTAAGCTTTTTAGCATTCAATTATCATGTTGAAACTTGCAAGTATTTTGTCTCTTTCCTTCCAAATGGTAGAAATTGTCAATTTAATCATATTTGTTTCTTTAAACATATTTTTATATTTAAAACATTAACAAATTAATTAAATTTTATTATTTACTTGTAAATTAATATTTATAAATGTGTTCGCTCAGAGTTTTAGCTATAAATCAAATTTGAACTAAGACTGTAATGAAAAGGGTAATTTGGAAAATTCACAAAATACCAAAGTAATAATTAAAACAATGACTAATTGTTTTATATAATTATTACAGATTATGATTGTATTTATTTTCCTAACTTTAAATTAAAATAGATTAGAGCAAATTATATTAATGAATTTAAACATTTTATTTTACATCAGAAATAAAACATGATAGTTTTTGTTGTATAATTAAGAATTTTAAAAACTATGTAAAATAACAAATTTTTCTCATTTAAGAACGTCAGAATTGGTTATATTAAAATAACTAAAAATTATCCAGTAGTGTCTGCTTACAAAGAACCTGTACAGACATCAGAACTGGTTCATTATACCCAATGTTCATTATATTGGATAAGAAATAAAACATAGTCTAATTTTGGAAAACTAAAGTTTAATGTCTCAAAGATAAAATGTAACAAATTATTACATAGGAAGTTGCCATTACAACATCAATATAAATGTGCATGGTTACTTAAAAAAACTGTTATTTTTGTTTGTCGATTTTTGCTAGTTGCATAGCATTCTGTAATATATAGTGTCATATCAGCAAAACTATTTTAAATATTTTGTGGTGTATTGTGTATAAAACTCTTGAATAACAATAGTGTTTTGCAAAACTTCAGAAATTGGTGTTATCAAAATTTTGACATCATCTGTATATGTGTGTCATCTTCATCCTCACTAACTTCATTATTTTTGGAAGACACTGAAGCTATATCATCATCATTTGTCAAAAGTTCCCAACAAATAATACTGTTTTCAACCCAGCATATTCTTCAAAACTGTAGTGAGAAAATGCATCTGGTAACTGTAGAAGAGCACATTTTGAACACATTTTGTCAGTTGTAAGTTTACTTTTAAAAAGTTTGTTGATTGGAATGTCATTATCTAAATTGAACTTTTCTCTGTTAGTTTGTAGAAAGTCAGCATCTCAAAAACAATTTGCTATTGTTAAAGCATTGATATACTTTGCCATGCCAAGTGGACAAAGTTTATTGCATCAAGATTTATAGAAAGCGATTCTTTGCTATTATTTATAGAAGTTACCATCTTCAAAAGGAGAATTTGCTGATAGCCACTCTTTAAACTTGGTCTAAACCAAGTTTAGACCAAGGTTGTAGTTTTGAACTTGTGTTGGGGGACATAAACACCAATTTAATGCAACATAAATTCTTGATGTTGGGATGCGCCAGGTAGTTGTCAGTCAATAATAAAATTTTTCATTACTTCTCAGTTCTTCATCTCATTCTTGCAGTTTACCACATAAAATGTCAGGTGTCATCCAAGCTCTTCAGTTAGATTTGTAGTTTACCGATAGCCATTGATTTTCGAAACATCTTTGAATTTTTGATTTACTGATTACTAATAGTTTTCTTTTTTCTTTTTCTATAAGATTTGCTGTTAGTAGAAAAGTAATTCTTCATTTAGATAATTTTTCTCCTGCACAGCTTTCTTTTTTGAATCTTAGCATCCTATCTGGTGTAAGCTTATTAAAAAAAAAACTGTTTCATCTGTATTAAAGCTATCAGAATCTTGGAAATTTTCTATAATTTTTGGCTACTTATTTTGCAACCAGTCTTCTACCATGTCCATGTTTACTGCAGCTGCTTTTCCAACAATTTTTCAGCTTCCAATAATGTCCTTTTTTAAACCTCTTGATGCAACTTCTACTGTATTTAAATTCTGTACTCTTTTCCAATTTGCTTCCAAACTCTTCTGCTTTTGACTACAATATAGCAAATACTGTAAAGCACCACTAATAGTTGTGTTTTTAAGTCTCTGTTGAGAAAATTGTTTTAACAATACTTGATCTAATTCATCATGTGCTGATTTTCTAAGCTTTTTAGCATTCAATTATCATGTTGAAACTTGCAAGTATTTTGTCTCTTTCCTTCCAAATGGTAGAAATTGTCAATTTAATCATATTTGTTTCTTTACATAATTTGCTTTGCTTTACACTGTTTTGCAGCCTTTAAATAATTTCATATTTAGTCTGTAATATAAGTGGCTTATGTTTCTGTTTACACTGATTAGTAGAGTCATCATATTTCAAAGGACAATACTTTATAATTTTGATTTAGCAAATGGCAAGGGTCAACATGCCTCAAGATTATGTGCAGTTTGTTATTCTTTATAATCAATGTCAGTGAAATGGAATTTTTTCTAACCAATAACAGCATAAATTTTAAATTTTGTGATGGTTTAGTTTTGAAATTCAAATTTGAAATACTGTATTTACAGTTGAAATTTTCAATCAATGAAAAGCATACTTTCAATTTCCAAATGTTAAATGGGTGGGAAATAGAACAAAATACCTTTTGAAAATCATTTAACTATTAATAACAGATGAGAAATAACATTTAAAATTAAAATTACAGCATTAACAAATAAAAATCCTCAACATTATAAATTTCTAAGTTCATTGGGCTGGTAGACAAACCTCAGAAAATACCTTAGTGAAGTAAGAAAATTGGTACAGAGAGAATATAAAAATTTAAGTTTGTGATGAAAAATTAGGTAAATAAATGTGTGCATTGAAATTAGTTAATTAAAAGCAAAAATGCCCAAATTAAGCAACATTTCCCATATTAGGTCATTTTAGTTCAAGACCTCTTACCTTTTGTTTAATCCATTCATGTCACTCCCATTATGTTACGGAAAAAGTTTTAATTTAAAAACCCTAGTAATAACTCAGGAATATTGTTTGTTTGCATAATCCTTTATAAGCGATAATTTTCATTTTTTTAAATTAAAATATTGTTCATTATATATGAGTTTGTTGTAGCTGGAAAAAATAACATTGCTCTTATGGGTGTTTCATTCATTCATACATTAAAATTGGATCAGGTGATCCAATTTCTCCTCAATTTTTTTATATACAGTAGAGCGTCGTTTATCCAAATCAATTGGGGACTGGGGTTGTTCGGATAACCGATTATGTACAAAAAAAATATATTAACCTATCCCATGTTGAAATTTTTCTCTGTTGCGTGTCGCTTTGCGTTGAATTTTCGTCGATGTTAAGCCTAACATAAACTTTTTAAAATAATAATCGTGGCTATTGTATCGTTAAAAATTACTTCTTTATTTTGTACAAACAAAATAAATACAGTATATTGAAAAATATAAAAACAGTAAAAAAATTATACTTCAGAAGTTAATTTAGTATCAAAAACGTAAAATATTTGAGTAGCCCAAGACATAGCCAAAGATTGCAGTGCCACAGCACTAGCGAAAATTTAAATTTGCCAACTGGAATTCTTTTGGATAACCGACTTTCGGATAAACGACGCTCTACTGTATATGATATTGATAAATGAAGATAGAGATAGTGAGATTAATTTAAACATTGATGCTATACATTCTGTGTAATATGCTGCTAATTGTATCAAAATAGAGTAAGATGGTAATGATATTTGAGAAATTTTAAAATTGATCAGTTATTTGTAATGAGTTCCAATCACATGTAAGGCTTTATTATACATTTTGATATATTGGAACCAAACTTTTTGGACTTAAATATATTTATTATGAATTGCTAATTGTATGAATATCAGAAATATAACACTTTTGAATATAATTTTTGTCATTATAAAATTAAAATGATGATAATATTTAATTAATATACAAAAGTTGCTGTTGTAGGTTTTGAATATAATAACTTAACTTTGTATATTATTTTCTACATCAAGTATATATTCTTAATTTTTAGGTTAAAAGGCTTATAATAGGTCAAAATGGCATTCTTTCTACTCCAGCAACATCTTGTATAATTAGAAAGAGAAATGCTGATGGTGGAATAATCCTTACTGCAAGCCATAATCCGGGAGGTCCTGATGCTGACTTTGGAATTAAATTTAACATTGACAATGGAGGCTAGTGCTTGTTTTATTTCTTTAATTTTATAAAGTATTAGTTTTTTATTTATTTATGGATTAGACTAAATTTGAATGATATAAAAGTTTTATGTAAGCTGCAATAATTATTATTTAACTATGATTAGGACCTGCACCTACTGGTGTAACTTCTAAAATATTTGAAATAAGCAAAGAAATCAAGGAATATAAAATTTGCCCAGAATTAAAAGTTGATATAACTAAACTAAGTGAAGAAAACTTTGAAGTGGATGGCTCTACTTTTACAGTTGAGGTTGTAGACTCTGTTCAGGATTATCTTAATTTAATGAAAGAAATTTTTGATTTTCCAAAAATTAAAGAATATTTAGCTTCAGGCTGTGGTGGGAAACCATTTCCTATACTCATAAATTCATTAAATGGAGGTAAATTCAGCTATAATAATTTTTGACTATTTATTAAGTTATAAGTTATTTTAATAACTTAATTATATAGTAATGGGACCTTATGCAAAAAGAGTGTTTTGTGATGAATTGGGTGCTCCCGAGAGCAGTGTTGTTAATTGTATTCCATTAGAAGATTTTGGAGGGCGACATCCTGATCCTAATTTAACTTATGCAAAAGATTTGGTAGATGCCATGGCAACTGGTGATTATTGTTTTGGTGCAGCATTTGATGGTGATGGAGTAAGTTTAAATTTAAATTTATTTTACTTTATTTTCAGTTAATAAGTAGCTTTTTGATCATTAAACTATTTCTATTTTTTTCTTTCCTTTTTTTAGGATCGCAACATGATTTTAGGTCACAAGGCATTTTTTGTAACTCCATCAGATTCTCTAGCAGTACTTTCTGCTAATTTGGATTGCATTCCATATTTTCAAAAGTCAGGTGTGAAAGGATATGCTCGTAGTATGCCAACAGCTGGAGCAGTTGACAAGTAGGCTGCATGTTACTTAAATTGTATTTTGATGTATGTAATATTAAAATATAAATGCATTCTTATAGAGTTGCTGCAAAAACAGGAAAAGAATGCTTTGAAACACCCACAGGATGGAAATTTTTTGGTAATTTACTTGATGCAGGAAAAATTTCAATTTGTGGAGAAGAAAGTTTTGGGACTGGTTCTGATCACATCAGGTAACGAATTAATCTCTTTTTAATATTTAATTTTAAATTTATTTTGCCTAAATATATTTAATTTTGATGCTTTAGAGAAAAAGATGGTTGTTGGGCTGCTCTTGCTTGGTTATCAGTTCTAGCAGATCGAAAACAAAGTGTGGAACAAATGTGTAGTGATCATTGGTCAAAATATGGAAGAACGTTTTTTACAAGGCAAGTTTTGCAAAAAATTTTACCATTCAAAAAATAAGTTGATATTTGGTTAATATACTTNCTTTTCTGTCCTCCCAAAAACGAGCCTGTACTAGAACAGGAGCCTTAAAATTTAAAAATAAAGTGCCTTAATAGAGACAGGACTTTTCTGTCCTCCCAAAAACGAGCCTGTACTAGAACAGGAGCCTTAAAATTTAAAAATAAAGTGCCTTAATAGAGACGGAACCTTTCTGTCCTTAAAAAAAGCCTTATTACTCTGCCTTTATACATTTCCCTCTTCCTTAATTAATAAATTATGCAAAGTTCCAAGAATCGAGTTCCTTAACAGGGGGGGTGCTTGCAGATTTATGTGTGATTCACTTTTATGAGGTTCATTGTACGTGAGAGAAGGGACATATTTAATGATTCGAATTATCCTGATTATCGCGCTTATTAACACCGTAGTAATTTTTATTTTATTTATATTAGATATGACTATGAAGATTGTGAAACAGAACCAAGCAACAAAATGATCAGTATGCTTCAAGAATATGTGAAAGATGGAAGCTTGAATGGGAAAACTTTTACTGAAGAGGGAAAATCTTACACTGTTCAAAAAGTAGACGATTTTGAGTATAAAGATCCAATAGATGGGTCAGTGACTAAAAACCAGGTAAATTACAAATATGTATTTGTAGATTCTCAAATGTATAACAATTCGAACATATTTATAAATAAAAATTTTTTGACAGGGTATAAGAATTATATTCACAGATGGATCTAGAATTGTATTTCGTCTCAGTGGTACAGGTAGCAGTGGTGCTACTATTCGTATGTACGTAGATTCACATGAATCTGATTTAACTAAACACAAGTTAAGTGCTCAGGTAATAAATTATTGTTTTTAATTTTTACTTAAAAAATTGTTTGCAAATTATAATTTGTTCTTTCTCTTAATTTTTAGGAATTACTGAAACCACTTATAAAAATAGCTCTTAGCATATCAAAATTACAAGAATTAACAGGAAGAACAGGCCCTACAGTTATTACATAATAAATACTTCTGTAGACAATTAAAAATGCGATAAAAAATTTTATTGGTTTGTGCCATAAAATCCCCCCTAAAAAGTTGATTTTAGAAGGCATGTTTAAATGTTAAATTTATAATAATTTATATAAAAAAATTTTATATAATATAATAATAAAAAAATAAAAAAAAATAGAAGTATGTTAAAAAAATTGTAATATACTGATTGTTAAAATGAAACCATAAAATCTATAAATTGTTATAGTCAAGATTTAAATAATTATGTAAGATAAAAATTTTTTCAATATGTATATATATTTTACTTTGCAAGTGTTAAGCATAGTAGTATTAAAACCTTGTAAATAATGACCATTAAAATTTAATGGTCTAAATTTAAAACTGCCATTACAATTACACCTATCTAAAAGATATACAACCAGCAGCTACTGCCCAGTGAATGTTTTATTGCAAAATCAAAAAAATATAAATCCTTTAACCTAATAGACTTTAATTTAAAAATTGTAAATTCATGATTTTTTCCCCCCTCTTTTGTTTAATTATAGTAAGATGTACTGTAAACAATGGGCAAGTGTGAATTTTGAAATTCTTATTGCTGTAACACAAATGCTTGTTATTAAAACCATTTTGAATTAGTCTGTAATTTTAAATTTTGTTATAAAACATCCTGAATCTCTCTACATCAGTGGTTTCCAAAGTGAGTGCTACTGTTCTCCTGTGGGCTGTGAGTAAATCTAGGGAACAAAAAAAAAGCGAGTGGGTGGCAGGGAGTGCTGAAGCTGGATACTGACCATAGGTGAGAGTTGAGTCACTGAAAAACCTTTGTCTATTAAAATGGGTAAGAAGAAACATTGCATTTAATGGTTTCCAGATGTGCAGAACAGTGTATGGTAAGGACACAAAGTGTGAGGTTCATAGAAAAGTTTTTCTAAGAACATTTCCAAGATTTTCTCACAAAAGGGAAAATGGGTTATGGGCTTTGGGTATAAGTTTATGGAATCAAGATGGCAGTGACTTGAGTTTGGGAATCAATGCTTTACATGCTTTCGTCAACATGCATTTATCATTATAAGCTTGGTTCATCATCTATTAAATATTTCAAAAAATGTACAAGGTATTCAATTTTTCTTTTGTTACAACAGTTCAAATCAATCACATTTTGGCTTCTTTTAAAATATGATAAACTTGAGGTTGAAAATATCAATATAAATTAATGATTTTCAAAAAGTTGATAAACATTTTTATAACAAAATTTGGTATTATAATACAGTACATTAAAGTTCTTCATTTTTAGTTTGTAAATGAAATTTGCTAAATACCTAAATTTTTGTTACAGAAAGGTACAGTAGAGCCTTGATTATCCGACCGTCCTAGTCGGCAAATTTCAAATGTCCGCTAGTGATGTGGCGCTACAATATTTGGCTATGTCTTGGCTACTTTAATATTATTTTTACGTGTTTTAGCTGGCAACACTCATTTGACCATGAAAGGGAGCCAGTATTTAAACGAGGCTTATTTTCTAATTTTTAACGATACAATAGCGACAATTATTATTTTAAAAAATTTTTGTTAGGCTTAACATCGATGAAAATTCAATGCAAAGTAGGTTAATAGCGATATACTAATTACATGGGATATAATAATATACTACACTAATAATGGATTTTTTCATACTTTTCGGTTATCCGACCAACCCCAGTCCCCAATTGAGTCGGATAATCGAGGCTCTACTGTATCTTTAAAGATTTCTGTATTCAGAAATTTAAATTTATACAGTATACATATACACAGGGTCTTCCAAATAGAATTCTGCCATTTTAAATGGTTGTAATTACAACATTCAGATAATGTACTTTAAATCATTGGAAAATTATGTTAATTATTATCAGTTTCACATTTGCCCATTAAAATTTCTCAATGTGTGCATCTGAGATGCATAATTGAGAAATTTGAGTATCAGTTGAATGTGTGCCACATCACATGGCACACATCCAAACTGATACTCAAATTCTTATGCTGTAGCAAGATCTGTCACTCCTCCCACAGCAGCCACAATTATACAACTCCTGCAGATAACATGTTGCACAATAAGTGATTCCAGTTTTGCAAACTGCAGAACAGTGGTGTAGCAAACATAACTGGTGCCCAGGGCACGACACTTTATTGGCACCCCCTCCCCTCCAGAAAGAAATCTTGTTTGTCTTGGAGAAATTTGGCGTCCCTCTGCAAGTGGTGCCCGGTGCATGATAGACCCCCTTGTCCCCCTTGCTATGCTAGTGCTGCAGAACACAAAACACACTATTGTGGAGTTGTCATTTTCATTTATGGTGCTTTCTAGAGCTGGTAGATGGCAAGATGTTTGAATGCAGATGGGAGATAAAACTCAGGCAGTTACCCATTGATTGGTATATATTGCATACTTCTCTAATAATTCATGTAATTATAATAATTTAAAATGGTAACATTCATTTTGGAAGATCTTTATTTACTAATAATCATGTATATTTGAAAATTAAAATTTATATGGGATACATGAAATCAAAAAACTAATATATTTGGAATATAAATGCCCATTAAACAAAATACAGATTAAGTTTTGCTATTAATATTCATATATTTCAATGTTTTTTAATTACAAGATTATGTATGTTTTAGATAATGTATTATATATCTGACAAAAATTTAAGAATCATTGTTATACATCATATGCACTAACAGACTAAGATTTTAATGTTATCATAGATACTCTTTCTGAACATTAAAACATTCTGCATTATGTGGGGTCCCAGACGAGGTTCAAACTCGAGTAAACCGTGAAATTCTTGCGCGACACAAAATGTAAACAACGAGACTCGTTGTTTCGAGTATGCGTCAAACTATCTGTCAAGGTCTTAGTGGAAGACAAACTCTAACACGAGCGCTCAAACAGGTAGATCTTTGACTCACGTGTCTATAAAATGTTGACCGAGATAAACCTTTTTGAACAAAAAAATAGGGGAATTTTTGATAGATGAAAGGTGAAAATGATCGTTAAATTCTTAGACATCAAGAAATGGTAAACAACGGCCTGAGTTATGAGTGCAGGTGTTATTGTTTTATAAACAGTCACCGAGCAGAGTCGACAAAGAGGTATCAGATGGACACCTCAAATCGGACCTTTCCCGCAAATCGAAAAAGCTTCGTCTTGCACCTGGAGACAAAGGAGAGAGGAACGGGATGAAGGACCAATCTGAAATGCAAATAGTGGGGGAAAAACTATAAAAATCGGAACTTCAAGGTCGAAAGAGAGTCTCCTCTGGATTAAGCCTACCGTTTGATTTAGATTGTGTTGTGCAACTGCCGATCACCCAGGATGCCACAGCTTAACAATGAACATCTGTATTATCCAGTGATCCTTCTTGTCCGCCCGGGCTGCAACCGATCACCCGAACTTTCGCCGTTCACAAGAGCACTGAGATTTGGAATTGTCCAATATCGATGTAAGCATGAATTCGAACAAATAAACGGGTTTTCTTTTGTTAAACACTTGTTCTTCATTTGCCTTCTTCGCCACCACCCACATACGCGGTTTCCCTTAGGCTCATTCTGACGCGAGATAAACTATTCTCCCTTTTACATTGGCGGACTTACAATTATTCTTACCTAAAGAAGAATAAAAATATTAGAATTTTAATTATTTAACAAGTTAGAAACTGTTGATAATGCTAGCAATAATTGTTAACTGTAATCTTTTAAGTTCACTTAACAAAAATTGGTAGTTTTCCCCTACATATGATTACAATAAGCAGATTCTATTATATCAAAATTATCAGATATCAGAATTATAATGTTTTGAAACATGTAGGTCAAAATATTCTTATAAAACCCATTTTGTTATAGTTTGCCTTTTTATCCGAAGATAATGATTTCTTAAATTTTCATATTATCATTCTCACTCAACATGTGGCTGATGATTGCAGACCAGTGACAACTCTTGTGTGTTCCAGGCTCAAAGCACTAGTTAATTTGTATTTTATCACAGTGAGCAATTTAATTTGCTGGCATTTCTTACTTTAATCATACTGGATGAATTCAATTTTTAATTATTTCAATATATATTTTTTAATATCAGTTAATAAATCAATGATTTTAGATTAATAAAAAAAACAAATAAACAATGAGAATCACTTCAAGCTCTGAAAATTCCTTTGTTTCATGTACAGTACCTGGAAACTTAAATTGTTTTTACCCCTCAGGCTACAATGGAAACTTGTATAGAAAATATATGCCCTCCACCTCAGATTAGTAGTGGCGTGCCTCTGTATGTTATACTTTTACTTTAACAGATAGATGACTGGTATGACTTGATTAATACCTTTCAGGAAAATTTTTGAATTGAAATAACATTCTGGTTTGTATTGGAAGTTCATTTATAGTTAATTGTGGCTTCCTGTACCTAAGGTTTCCATATATGGTCTGGTATTTCATCTAACTCCATTCTCAAGATTAAGGAAGGAAGGAAAGAAAGACAGATGGATGGATGGACAGACGACAGTAGGAAATTATAGGTCTACAATTTTTTTCAAACTGCAGCCCAAAAACCAGTCAAATAACTTTTCCATTGGCTAATCTCTAACAGGTTAAGCTGATTTAAAGATAAAATTATTTTTGTTTTAGTAACAGTACTCTCTGATCCAGACTTGTTAGTCTCTGTATTTGACATTATTATTAATCTCACAAATTTATTTTAAAAACCAAATACCAATATGTTAAAATGTATAATACATTAAGATTACAGACAAATGTCCCATTCTGACTTTTCTTTATATATAATCCCACTAATCTGAACAACTTGCAATAAGTAGTTTTAAATACAGTGCATTCTAAGTAATCCAAAGAGAAACTTAAATTCTAGAAATCATTTGTTTTGTATGAAAATGTGATGCAAACATTTAAACAATAGAAGAATGTAAGTCCTAAGATCAACCATCTCCGGTTGGGTATCAAATTAAACTTAGATTGTGAAAAAGGTCAAAATCAGAATTGAGAACTTGATATAGTTAGTAATTAGTGATCAACCTCTTGGAAAGTGAGAATGAGGAAAAGCTACCAATCAGAATGGGCAATCAAGGATAGAAATGAATAAAAACCCAGGAATTCAAGTACGCAATGGCTTCTCCTGAAAGTTCCACCTGTCGGACCAATTGTGTGTCTCGTGCCCATCTTCATCTCCCATCCTATATCATCTTCCCATCACCAGAAGTCGACCGCATCGTCCTGAAGTTGTTTAGGGAACCGTCATTCAAGAACCAGGGACACTCCTCCTTATGGGACTATCTTGGATAGGAGAGGTAGATCCAGAGGTTGCTGCTAACTTAGAACTTCCAGGATTGTGGAAATCTTATAAGCTTTTGTGTCAAATAAATGATTTCTTGTAACTATAGAGTTTGTCTCGGTACCAATCGTACCCATATGTGAACCCTTCAAGACCCCCAAACTTACCCCATAGGAACCTTACATATGCCACATTATGTGTAGAATTACAGTAAAGCATCAATTATCCAACTCAATTGGGGACTCAGGTTGGTCAGACAACTGAAAAAAATCGGATAACCAAAAAGAAGGAAAAAAATACATTATTAGTATAGTATATTAGGAT